CTGATCATCTCCAGCATGAGATGCTTCCGCATTGTCCTTGTCCTTTTCCATGGTGGGAGTTGGTAAATCCTTTGGGGGGATATCGTGTTCAGTTGGAATTGATGAGGAAGACTTTTCCAAAAACTCAATGATGGCCCTGATCACTCTCTTCTCCAATGATTGCTTGTAGTTGACAACAACACTGTTAAGTCTTCCCTCAACTCCCACAATACTGACGGCAACCTTCTTCTCAACAGCATCTGCAATTTTATACTCCATACCAACGATGTTGTCACCCAACTTCTCGGATATTAGATTTGCTAATGGTTCAATCATGCCTGGACCAATACCAGCATACTCAGATTTCTCCCCCAAAGTTGCTTTGTCATGTTTATCCTTGGCCTCCTTTTCCCTTTGCTTGTCAACCTTTGGTCTTGAAAGGTCACCGGAGGAAATGCCACCACGGAACATATCATTGTTGAAAACAAACCCATCGTTACTGAGCTTAACAAGCGTGTCCACAATAGGGTCCTCACATTCATCAACCCAAATAAAGTCATGCTGAGAAAGCCACTCCTCCTCTGGGTCATCGAGAATGGATCGAACAGGCACATGTAATTATGTGTTAACACAAACGGTAACGGTTAACTTTTATATTAACGAGTAATTGTAAATTTAATTGGAAATTCTAAACAGAACAAATATGCATGTGATCTTACAATGAAAAATAAGGTAGAGATAAGCCTGAGGGTTTCGCTAAACTAGCGTTTAGTGTTCTCAAGTCTGATTGGTCGGTCTAGGGGAACAACATCAAGCATGAGAATGACACAGTGTTAATTACGCTGGTGGATGTTAACTATTTGATTAGCACTTAGTAATGCTGGTGGCTGTTAATATATATTAACAAGTAATTATGAGCCAGAAGGATGTCAAACCTGGCATTCCATGTTGAGGTCCCTAGCGTTTTTGGGATTAACAATAAATCTAGGGGAGGAGTTAACCTTCTCCAAACTTCCAGAGGCATCTCCAACAACTTGTTCCTCCTCAGTAGGCATCTCGCTCTCACTCTCAGATTCAACAACAACAACATGGGCAGTGGTGATGACTTCTTCTTTCAAAGCAGAGACAACAGCAATCATGACAAGTTGTATAGCTTCAACATAACCTCTTAGTGCAAAAGAGTCTAGAGCAAGGGCAAGTGCATCCTTCTTAAGTAAGGTTGATGTTACAAGTTGAAAAGAAATCTGCCCCCATGGATAAGCAATAAACTCATCAATTTCCCTAATTAACTCGACATGTTCATGAACAATTTTCGGAGAGTGAGAAGATGGAAGTAGGACTGAAGCAGTAATTGCTAAACAACCAAATTTTATCCTGGTGTTTCTATCCTTCACCTTGCGGGTCTTGAGCATGTCAAGAACAATATCCACAGAACACGATTTAAGAGAGCCAAACATCTCGTTCCAATATAGTTTCTCTTTGAGAGGTTTCTTTCTTCTTTTTCGTGTCTGATTAGGAATCATGTTGCAACTAAGACCAGTAACAATAGTGAACTCCCTAAGAGAGATTCTAATTGGTCTTCCGGCGAAAACCAACCATATTTCGTACTTCTTCTTCGTCTTCAGCATCTTCACCAAAATAAAATGACCAAAAGCACCAGAAAAAGGTGGATTTTCGTCTAAAGCGAGAACCTTTGAAAACTGAGAATTTTTGAAGAACTTCATCTCTTCCTCGTCTAGGGATTCAATAAGCGACTCTGTTCTCCGAATCCTGTGATACGAGTTGACTCGTTCACCGATTGATTCATCACCACAGGAGAATATACGCAGAGGAAGTATCAGATCTTCCATTGCAAACTCGAAAAGAAATAAAGGAATTAAACGGTTGTTTTCGTATGAGATTTACAATTTCTTTTGTACAAGTAAAAAGGAAACTGAAAAATCAGTTCCCTGTTATGAAATAAAAGAAATTAATAGAGAAAAGTAATGAACTTAATTTAAATTCAAATTTAGACGGTTGCAACATAAATATGGTTTCTTGTTAAAGGGAAAGTTGTCTGCTACAACGCAGACATGGGTCTATGGAAGTAGGCAGAGAGAGAATGAAAGGTAATTTCGTCATACCAAATAATTGTGTCAAACGTGGATAAACCGCTAATTAAGAGGACGGGTTCTGATGTATTGGCAAATAATCTCAATAATTATTCAACCAATATATATATATATATATATATATATATATATCATACTTTAAACATATCAAAATTTTGAGTAAACTATTCAGTCGACTTTAAAAGTTTTCATACCATAACTATTATAGAATGCTATGAAATCCAAATCGATTAATATTTTATGAAAGTACGTACTACCACTATCATCAAATATTATTTCTATTTATAGGAAAATCAGTGAATATCAACAAGATTATGATAAAAATTTGAATCATACTACATATTTGCTGCTTGAAGGCTTTTATGAATATTTAAATTAGATAGAAAGGTCTTAGAGACTAATTTTACATTTGATTAAAATAAATAATATAAAAATAATTTTCCCTATATAAGAAAACTATAGAATATTCATGAAGGTAGATCATAATAGAGAACCTAGAGTAATACATAAATGGTATAAAATTAACATGTATACATATATTCTCTTAATTTTATATCATTATATATATATATAATATACTTGGCATGAAATATTTTAGGTTAAGCTTAACTTTTATGTGCACATTCACTAGTTTTAATTAAAAAGAAAAAAATGAAAATGATTGCCAGTTACACGAGCAATACACTACCACATTGTCACATATCTTGGTAAAAGTTACATACTAAAAACTACGCTAACTGTATGAGTCACCTGAAAATATCCAAGAGCTAATATGTGTTATGTTGTTAATACCATAAATAATTTTGATATTAGAAATGTGTCGGATTTAAAATTTGTCATAGCAAAATATCCAAGAACTAATATGTGTTATGTTGTTAATACGTGAATGTATTTTTATTTTTAATAGAAATCATGTACTATATTTTAAGTAAATATGCATGTATCTATACGGTTTACTTTTATTTTTATATTTATCAATGAAATATTTTTATGGAATTGTGTGTGTTTCCACCATTCCACAGCTAGCTACCAATCAAAACCTTAGCCTACCGGGTACGGACACCAGACCTATTCCCACGCTAATTGTTAATGCAGTCATGCTTGCCTCTTACGCGCGCACCATTACTGTTCGGATTAAAGAACATATTTACTGATCAGCGTGAAATCAATAGTCAACTAGTCCCAAATTGTGTGGTGTATGTTTATTTTTCCTTTTGTAATTATGTGGTGTATATTCGAATTGGATTTGTAAAACCCTAGGATTCACAAGAAAAGGGGATTTGTAAAAACTTTGCTCAACTGTACTTTTCAGTTAGTTTAAAAATATTTGTCTCCAAATAAAAATAAGGAGTATTTAACTTTAAATTGAGTATATTATAGTGCTCTTTTCGTACTTCAACTACCACTTTATAGAACCACTTGCTTTTGTGGTGTCGGCTTGCACGCGTGCGATATAATATTTGTACACTTAACTTTCATTCACTTTAACACAGAAGTTATTAATTAGTTGTGAAAGCTTATTATTGTACGTGTAAACATGGTCTGTTTCTTCAGTCTATATATATTTATATATATAATTATATTCATAAGTAGGCATGACAGATGGGTTCGTGCCGGATTTTAAATCCTTTTGTTCGGATAGTCCAATAATTGGGTTCAAGAAAAATATCGTCCCTATGTTCCATATTATAAATAGTCTAAGAAAAAAATCTTTTGTTTCAATATATAAGTAGTTTTCACATTTCTAAATAACTTTTACTTTATTGAATGTAATGTGACAAATCAAATTATATAGATTTATTTATGATTGGTTCAACTATATAATTTATATAACAAATGATACTTTTTAAAGAATAATACTTTTTAAATCTTTGTATACTTGTAAGTAAAACTACTTATAAAGAAGCAGATGGAGTGAAAGTAACCAAGTTAAATTAGAATTTGGTTTAGTTAATTGGGGGGGGGGGAGGAGTTTCAGTTAATTTAGATAAAATTAGTTACTTCAATTAATTGGTTTCTTGAATTAAAAATTTAAATATTTCTTTAAAATTAAATATATATTGGTATAAACTGATTTTGAAAAAATACCATTTAACTAATTTGTTTGAATGAATATAATGAAAAAAAATACCGTAGCTTCTAGATTTGAGGGCGGCTATCTTTCGATAGCTCATGGCAACTGCCTCCTCCATTTCGACTTTCCAGTTCATTCTGATCCTTGCCTGTTTCCGTTGCTTAGCTAGTATATATACTAGCTTTCCCGCTTCAGTTTTTTTTTTATTAATGTTGCTTTCTTTGTGTTGTTTAGTTTAATTTTTTGTTTTGTGCTATTCATGTATCTCTATAAGCGCTGTCAAACAATTGAAAATTTGGTATATTTAATATTTTACCAAAAAAAAAACTTTGATGCTAGTTTAAATTAAGTATTTTATTACTAACCAGTTTTTATATGTTTTACTATTAAATTATGTTTATATCAGTATTAATTAAAATCACTGAATTTTTGGACAAATAAATCATTGATCTAAATATAGTAGAGTCTGTAACAAGTCGATGACAAAAAAAAAACATTGATCTAAATTCTCTTTACTGGAGATGATTTCCCTTGTATCAAAACTAAACGTAAGGCTTTTGGAAAAAAAAACAAAAAAAACAAAAAAACCACAACCTCTCTAATATTTGAGTTAGGGTTAAATTCCCATCCAAAAGATCATTTCAACCTTAACATCAATTATTTTGTAATACTATTTAAACTCTTCAGTATATTTTTGTCTTCCATGGAGTCTATGATCTCCTGATACGTGTTTGCGTAAACAGAAAATATTACATTACATGCAAAGCCATCCACATTTCTAAAATTGAAAACTAAAAGGGTATCGTGTATATATATGCAAATACTTTTTGCACCCAGAAACTATCATCTTCGAACATATAATTAATCACAAACCTTTTAACAAAAAGAAACATATAATTAATCACTCAGTTCAAACACTAACAAATGTGAGACAGACAACAAATTAACAAACATAATACTCCTACAAGAACTTGTTGCATTCCTCTATAGGAGAGTGTTTCAAATAGATTAGAGCTAATTAATCGATTGATTAATCAATTAATAAAGTGAGGAATCAAACTAGGCAGTAATTGGGAGGTGAAGAAAGACGAAGAAGTTTCAACTCCTTAAAAGCAGGATCTTGTAATAAAAAGACTTTGTCCCCATCCCCAACACCATTCATGTATAAGTATTCTCTGTCCTCTCTCTCCTTCCCTTTGAACAAGAGTCTCTGCTCAATTGGCTCAATTCCACTCACTATTGCTATCACCATCTTCAATTCACCTAGGAAGAAAATAAAATAAATGAGGAACTGTAAAATAAGTGATCGTTTGTATCAAAAGACGGACCAATCAATTTAAAATGTATAAGCCTTTGGAATGATAAAATCAGTTTAAGAAGTTGAAATCATGTAGATTATGTAGATCAAATAAAATAAGTGCAGATCAAATGGGCGTTAGAACAAAACTAACAGATAATATGATAAATAATAAAATTGTTCAAATAGTAAAATCATTCAAATAAATAAAATCATATATTTAAATAATAAAATTACAAGTAAAAAAATCAGAATGTATAATATATAAGTACAATACATTAATAACAATAAATATTACATTAAAACCATGTTAGTACAATTTAAAAATCAAAATATAAATTAATTATTACTCCCTATGTTTCATAATAAGTGTCGTTTTATACTTCGGCACACGTATTAAATAAACAATAAATTTTGTATATTTTTCATATAAAAACATAATTATTTATACACCTAACCTTATTTCAACCAATAGAAAAATAAATTACATAATAAAATTAATAAATTTTGCATTGAAAACCGAAAATGATACTTAATTTGTAATAAATTTTTTTCTCTAAAACGATATTTAATATGAAACGGAGGGAGTAGCAATTAACAAAATACATCTCTTTCCATTATTATACAGATACAAACGATAATGCTATATATTTACGTAATATATATTAGAATTAAAAACACACACATTATATAAATATAGTAATTTAGATAAATGTAAAAACTATTTCACAAATATAAAAAGAAAGATAAGTAGACAATGATAATTACTTTTCTATATTAAAGTTATGAGTTAAATAAATGAAAAATGTAGTATTTATAGAAGAAAATTAAAAATATTTTAGAACTAATTATTTTTAATAAAATTAATTATTGATCAAGAAAAAAAAATATGGGTGAACCAAATGTATAGTGGACGAGAACAGCAGTCGGTCTATCTGTCTTTTTCCAAAAAAGTTAAATGATAATTTTAATATAAGAAAAAAGCATGGCAGAAGAACTGTATTTGTTCCATTACACCATTCAAAACCTTATAGTTACTGCTTCAATCATTTACCCGTCAAACTAGAATAAATGTATATTTATTTATTTATGGCCAAACGGTTATTACTTTGCTAAACCAAAAAGTACCAATCCGACATTGACCCAAAAAAAAAACAGAAAAACTCTACACTAGTCATTGTATATAATCTGTTATTCCAACAACATTTGTATTGTGAAAGAAAGAAAATAAATAATGACACATGTAAAAAAAATTGAAAATATATTCCAGCTAGTATTACTACTTTTCTCTTCGCTATTTGAGTTATATCTACATGCGTAATCGACTTTAAATTTTTAATACAGTATTATACTGTGTGAGTACTTAGTTGTCTAAACTGGCTTTAACAAAAGCAACAAAAAATTCCATTATATTTGTTTCAACTATATAAATGTACATGTTTTTCATCAGGTGTTATGGAGTTACTATCCGAACATATATGAACAATATGGGTAATTTATTTTTTTTTGGTAAAAAACAGTATGTGGAATTATTACCGAAAGTGGAGTTTGCATCAATGGAGATTTCATATGAAAGATGAGAAACAGTGGAGACTTTAAGGCTGATTAAATCTTCAGTGATGGAATCTTCTGATCTCTTCTGAACCAGCATCCCTCCAGGCCTCATCTCCCATTTTATGTTGTTATTGTTACATGATAATGATGATGATGAAGAAGAAGATAATGATGATGATGACCTCTGGTTGTTGCTATTGCTTGTCCTAATTCTTCCGCACCCAAACCCAATGCAAAACCTCTTTGCCATTAGCTTTCCCATTCTCTCTCTTTCTTTCTTTTGCTTGCAAGAAGAAGAGAGACGTGCTGTCTTATATTTATAGAAAAACAAGGTTTGGTCTGTGTTACAAAAAAAAAAAAAAAAAAAAAAAAAAAAA